TTTCCTTTTGAATATGACACAACTTGTTCAGAGGTGTTTTGTATATGTGATGTATTTGTTGTATGCAGGATAACTTGCGTGGAAGCAGTGTGATTTTTTAAGAAAAAAATAGCTGCAATTATGCAGTTTTTATTGCAGTGCTGGCATTGTCTCAGTGAAGTGCATATGTTGTCGTTCCTACTGGAATAAGAAAAATATTTTGCAAAATGTTTGGAAGTGAAACTTTCAGTTTTCTAGTCTTAGGCATATAGCAAAAACGTTATAAACTGGAAAAGTAGAGGAGATGGACCAGCTCTTCCTTCCAAGGCTGTTTCTTTCATGGGCTGACTCAGTCACCATGCTCATGTTGCTTCAATGTTCTGTAAGTCCTATGTTTTTTTTAGGGATCTTTCTTTTATTTATTCAGTATTTCTTTTTAAAGGGAGAAATGAAGTGAATGCTGAAAGACAAAGATACATTTCCCAGTGATAAAATATTGAAATTCTGAAGTGCACCTCCTAGTTCTTCTGGTATATCTCTTTCATTCTGTTCCTTTGATGTTATCTTCTCGAGGAGCTTGTAGTGTTTCAGGAAAAGGTTGAGGTTATTGTACCAGAAGATTTTTCTGCTGTGTGCTTTTCACAGGGATTTGAATTATGAACATAATGTTGTGGCTCAGTTTTGGATTTAGTGATAGGATAGCAAGCAATGCTATCTAATTTAAAAAACATTTAGAAAGCTGTGTGGGAAAAGAGAGAGAGAAGAAAACTAGGCATCACTACACATGAATCTTCAGCAAAAATTTGATCCTTCAGAATGACAATTCTTTTACTACAAAATAACAGCCAAATTCTCCATCTTTCCATGAGTCTTTTGAGCTGGCATTCAGATAGAACAGCCCACCTTTCACCAGAGAAAATTAGACTGAGAAGGAAGGATCACAGCCATATATATTTAATTTGCTCTGAGAAATCTTGTGTGCTTTTTTAATCAACAGTCTGAAAAACAGAGTGTAGATGTCAAAAGTTCTGTATGTTTTCCAACTCCCTGTGTATGGTCAGCTCCAAGAATTCTTCCCTATCTTGTATTACCTTTAGAAAAAGTTTTAGCATCATATATTTAGAGTTGTGCCTTCTAGCTTTAACAAGCACTCTTAGTGAGAGAACATTTAAATGTCATTTTAGTAGTCCCAAAATGAGAAAGAAATGCAAGGAAAGTTGGAGGTTAGGTTGAAATATGACATTTTGAGAAGAGGTATTAGTATATTACAGATTCTGTGTAAACAGTATATAATTTCTTTTCGAACTAAGCAATGAAACTGTTTCTACATTTTATTATTTTCTTTTTTTTTACATTAAAGCACATTGAGAAACTCTGTGAACAGTTTGAAATTGAAAGATCATAGCAGTGAGTAGCTGAATGTTTGGCTCTAACGATGGACATATAGAAATATGGCTTGTTTATCTGTTGTGAAAGCCAACGCTTAATCTGTGTGCATATTATATTTCATGTGAATAGGCAAAAGAAAAATCTGCAAACTCTTTAACAAGCAATAAATGTATTTTAATTTAAAATTAGTGTTTTTAACAACCTTGAAAAATGTTTAAATCCAATATTACTGCTCAGGAGAGTGATTTATTGAATTACATTTTTTCCCAGATTGCTGCATAGTTGAAACGGGCTGTGCTTGCTGCTGCTGCCAGTGCTTCCAACTGTCACACAGCAGGGCTGCTTCCGAGAAGCAGAGGTGATCAGTGGGAGTTGCTGCAGTAACTGATTCTGAGAGAAACAGATAGCAATTCCCAGTCAGTGTGCACAGAACTCTCTGATGAAGACCAAGATAAAGAGCCACAGTCTGTTAAGGAGCGTGGTTTCCTTGCAAGCTTGGATTGGTCCTGTTAATTGAGAATCAGATTCTGCCTTAAGATCTGAAGTGGAATCTCACAATGACAGAATGTGTGCACATACATTTGAAGAAAGTATTAATCCTTGTATTTTCCTTGTCTTCAGCTTTGTCTTTTACTCAGTAGGGTCACAATCTGTCAGTGCTGGAGCAGTTCTCGTACTACCGCTCTGCTCAGAGGAGCTACCTGAAATTGTCACCTCCTTACTCATCATTTCTGCTCTGTCTGTAGTAGGTCAGTGCTGCTTCCTTTCAGGGCAACGATAGGTTTCTGCTGCTTCTTATTCCCCATAGCTTTGCAGAACCACTGCAGCTCCAACAGGAGTTCGGGTTCTGTCCGTCTCCACGTATCAGCAGTAGGGCTGTCCTGTCTCTCAGTGATGTTCTTTATTCTGCAGTGATGTCAAAACTGTTTTAAGTTGCTATTCTGATTTTCAAATCACACTTGAACGTATAGAAAGGACAAAATGTATTAGATTTTGAAAAAATAGTCCCTAGGTAGTATTGAAAAAAGAGTTATTAACACTACCAGGACAGTATAATTTTTTTTTCATCTCTTAAATTTTGTTTTAAGAGTTTCTTATGATCTTCACTTTGGTCTGAGAAAGGAGGGACCACTTTCTGAGTCTTATATGGTGCATGGAACCTCCTCAAGGTTTGAAACAAGGGCTGATTTTCAGTTTTCTCTGAAGTAACAGTTATCTGAATTATTGTGAATTACTGACACCAACTTCACTTTCCCTACAAGATATTTGGGGTGCAGATTTCTTTGCACTGAAGATTGGTTTACATCATTAAGGATCACGGAATGGACTATCTTACTGATGTTCTCTGACAGCAGATAAAAAGTTAGTGTATGAGACAGTTCTGTACCGTGTTTCATTTCATACAGTGTTTCCATGAGAGCGCTGTTACTCTCTCATCATTCCTAATGACTGCAGTGCGTTGAGTCACAGTGTTGTTTTTATAAAGCTTTTGCTTTCTCCGTTGTTTGTTCTCAAGGTTACATTATACGGAAAATAAAATATAGTTTTTTTTCACTAGTCCAGGCTGTGTAAAAAATATTTGTAATCTTTTTATGAACATTAAAACAGCTCTGCTTTAAGTAGGAGGTGGTACTCCTGCTTCAAGCATTCCTAACTATAACGAACTGCTGTTTTTTCCCCTGAAAAAGGTATGGATTGTGAGTCATGAATTTAAGATCTTTCAAAAGGTGGTAATTCTTCTGTGCTCTTTTATTAGTAATATTGTTTAGCTATTCACCATGAATTGCAAGCCATTAATAATTATCAGAAGGCAGTTTTGTTGCTTAAATAATTTTGAAGATGAAAGGTAACTATTTCTATTTTCCAAAGGTAAGAAAAGTCAGGGTAAAAAATTAAAGGAGGTGTGAAGAGAGGAAAGGACGGATTTCTTATTTTTTTCCAGTGGATTTGCATTACGGATAAGAATAAGCAAGTGAGTTCAATTAAAGACATTGTAAACTACTGTTTTGCTTTGATTGAAACTCTGCCCTACTGATGATTTTTATTGCTGTGCTTATTTTGTTTTCGTTTGTTTTCAAAGCATGGGGACAGCACTGGTTGTGTTTTTGCCTTCATTTGGAAGGCCTTGGTTTTGTAGATTCAAGTGGGAAGTATGTGTTAATTGCAGAGAGGTATTAGAGAACTTACTAGTCAGCCAGGCTGGTGTTTCTCGTGAATATTTCGTGTGCTTAGAGCTTACTTAAGCACTCAGATATATTCTTCAGTAGTTTGCTTTTGTTAAATGCTGGCAGACTTCCATTCAGGAAGAGACAAAGGATACTTGTTCTTTCCATTGCAGAAATTACAGGGCTGCTTTTATTCTTTTATTCTTTTTTTCTTTTTTCCAGAGAAATGTTGTCAGGTTCAGCAGTAAGGATACTAACAAGAAGTACTTACTGTTTTAACGCTGTTCAGGTGCCTCGTGGAAAGGATTGCTGAAGTTCAATGTGGAGTGAATTTTGAGTCTGTCTGAAACAGTTGTAACTTCTTGTTTCTAGGGAAGAGTAGATATTTGAGGAAGACTGAGGTCCATCGAGTGAAAGGTCTCTTTTGGTCAAATTGAAGAGTGTAAAAGAAGTTTTTGAACAGTTACTGAAAAATCTAAGTATCTAACATAGAAAATCTTTGTTTCTCTGAAAGGGTTGTATAAATTGCCAGGCTTTAGAATCTGTGTAGGAAAAGGGCTCTTACCAGATGGAGGGGGAAAGAAGAAAGGCTAGAAACATTTTTGTTTATGCTCCAAATATCCACTTGGCTCCACTCAGAGTATGTATGGGATACAGTTCGAATATTGGCTGATGCCAAACAGTAGCCTTTTTTTAATTGTTACAGGTATTACATGTTCTCAGGAGAGAAAAAAAAAAAAAAGGTTTTTTGTGTACACACTAGGAAGTTTTCCAGGTACACAGTTAATGAGATGCTGCCGAGCGCTGTGGTTTGGTTCATGTTATTATGCTTAGGATTATTCCTGTGTTAGATCTATCTGATTTACTGATGGTACAGATGTTTGTCTGCACATCTAAGGGAGATGCGTGACCCATGTTAAGGTTTGTTGTTGAGACATAAATGTGGTCTAAACCTTTGAAAAAGTTCCTGATAATGTTTGCTTGTTAATGTGAAACTAAAATATTGGTTCATTCGCAAAGCACTGTGGAACAAAGGAAAGAATAATTAAGTTTCATATGAAGGGATTTGAGTATTAACTCAGGATATGAAGTACACATCTTTTTTTGTTCATCTTCAGCTTTTCTTTTGCCATCTTTCTTTAAGACTTCCTCTTTTGGGCTTCTTCAGTATAAAATGGAAGCAGTAATGCTATCCTAATTCGTGGTGATTTTTTTTCCAGGATAAACTGATTGCTGATTATTAACACTTGCAGTACTGTGATAATGTGAATGAAGGGGACTATCTGCTTGCCCACCAAAGTGGCATAACCTTTTTGGAACAGCATTAGTTACAAGTAACCAGCATACACAGTGTTTTAGTAAAATTAGGCAAGTGTCTGTAGAAATATATTTTGTTCTTTCAACTGTGTGCCGTCAAAGAAAGATTGGAATGAGACGCATTAACAAGCTCTTCTTTTTCCTTCCTAGAATTACAACAACAGCTGCTTGTATGATGGACCTACGGAGATATCCGCTGGATGAGCAGAACTGCACGCTGGAGATTGAGAGCTGTAAGTACTTCTGCAAATCCTACTTATTCTGTGGTCAACTGCTTCAGACATTTTTATTTCCGTTTATTTATATATTTATTTGTTTTATATGCTACTAACCTAGTTGTCTCTCTGTCTGATGACATTTAGATCCTTGTAAACACATGCAAAAAAATAGCTTTCCAGATGGATTAGTAATTTGTGGCACAAGGATTAGCAAAAGTTATTCTGCTTTGACAGACAGTTTTCGGCTTTAAAAGTCTCATTCAAATGCCTTGTTGGAGTTCATGTGAGGAGCATGAGGATTATTATCAGTTCTTTATCCTCCCTTACAGCTGAACTATGTTGCAGCTTGTTTCCATTTATAAATGATGGCAAAAGGTTAGGACTGTCTTTTCAATAGGTGTGTTACGATTTGTTTGATTTTCTAACCTCTCTCTGTGCTTAAGCTTTCAGTGCATTCAGTGCAACTTCTTATATATCCCAGTTTAATAGCTGATGTCTCTATCAAGATATCTACGTAGATAAAACTTGTGCTGTGAAATAGAATTTCAAACCTCTTTTCACTGAATCTTTAGCAGACTCTTAAGTACATCAAATCAAAACAATTCATGTTCGTTTATGTAAAGACAGCGTTGTAAATGTGCAATACTTGATGCTAAGTAAGATCGGATCAGCAGTTTCAAGATACATGTCCTTTTTCAAGGGAACTGTATGTAACAGATGGAGTCTATTAGTAAGTTGAATGGGGCACGCAAATGAAAAGTAATGGCATTAAGATACAGTCCACAAAACTGTATTTAAAAAATACCATATATATTTTAAGAGATTGTATGGGACTTTTGTGTGCATGTGTGAGCAAAGTGATTGCAGCTTGTGTAGCAGTCTGATAAGAGCTCGGTATGGTTGAACTTCTTTTTTCTGATCTAGAAAGCATTTAAGCGTATGATTTAAACTCGGGTCTACTTTTCATTCATTTAATGTAATTTAAAGATATATCAGAGTCTCTTTCTGGATTGCACTTGTGACACTGCTGTCTCATTTATATTCATGTAGTAAGCAAAATAAGTCTTTATCATTAAAGTTCACCCCTTTTCTAGACTGAACTACACAAACATAAAATGTGATGGACTTAGCTCTTTTGAGAAGGGATAAAATCTTTGGGGTGTTTTTGCAGTTGATTATATCATTTATATTGATAGCATTTGATTTGGAATTTTATACCTGCAGCCTTTAAAAATCAGCCTTTCACGCTGATAGTGTGTGAGAGTTTTGTGTTCATACAACTGTATTTATGTTCAGAGAGATTCTTGGATTTGTTGCGCTTGGTATGAAATATACAGTATTCATTATAGCATTGAAAAGGAGGATGCTTAATTTCCCATAGCCATTAGGATGCTTATAGGAAAGCTCCTCCGTGGCTCTATCTCTTAGCTCAGTTGTAGCATTACAGCAGTAAAGTGGATTTAAAACCGGATGCTGTGTTTAGCTGGCCTGCCTTTCATTGCAGTAATAAAGGTCATTAAAGAACGTGGATAGAAGTAGTGCTTGAACTGCACTTTGAAAGAATTTCATGCTGCTTTAGAAAATTATTACTCTTTATATATGTCACTCTGTCCAGGTAAAAATCTGTATAATCTTTATAAATTGCTTCAGAGAAAACGGTAGGTAGGTAGAGTAAATAAGACTGAAAGTGACTTTGAGTCATTTTATGCAGATACTCAAGTCATAATCACTAATTAATCTCCATAATCTCCATGCTGAAAGTAGCTTATTTTGTTGGCCTGCTGGTTCTGTTGGACACTTCTTGCACCATTGCTTTCTTGTGATGGTTAGAAAGACTCTAAATTCCATGTCAGGAGGGCATAAAATTGTATTCACTGCTTGTGTCAGCTGTCCTTTTTTAAAAAAAATTATTATTTTATTTTAAAGTTAATGTTTACCTCAGCCCCGCTGTAATTATTGCAATATATGTAAAGAATGTGGTACCTCATAAGCTTCATATCATAAAATGTGCATATGCCAGTTCGTTTTAGCTTTCTCATATAAGAGCTTTCCGTTATTTTATGTTAAAAGAAATGCAGAATTAGCAAATACTAGTTTCTGCAGATGCTGTAGTTTATCATTCTTCTTTAGGAATAACGGGTACCACAAACCATACTCTAAATTAAGTCTCTGTTGCATTATGGCATTTACCCTGCCCTTTGTCATCGATGTGGTCCAAGAACCACCTTTACCTTTATTCACAACTACATAACTTCTTCAGATGCTAGCCTTTCCTGGAACATTATAGTAAGTTTTCCCTTCCTTGTCCATCTTCCAGCAGTGGGATCTAGCTCTTGGTAGAAATATTTTTGCATATTCAAAGGACGCACAACTTTATATTTTATAACACTCTTCACATAAATCAGCATTCTTAATTTAACTACAGACCTCAAAATTATCCAGCTCTTCCTGTTTTTTGTCTGCGCAGTGCTTTCAGGTCTTGTTTTATTCAAAATTTATTCACACAGAAACACTAACAAATATTAATGATAACAAAGAAAAACTTACCTTGTAATCATTCTATATACTGAGCATTAGCTATTCTTTCAGAGCAGTACTTTTTACACTTTATTTATCAGTCTTTACTAATTGTCTTCTCACAGATAGACCCATATCAAACATATAAAGTACAGGTTAACTGTACTTTGATTGGAAATGCAGTAAGGATCTGGCTAGAAAGATCTGGCTCAAAACCCTTTGGAGGTTAGCCATGATATATTTTTATACCGTTTCCATGCTTATTAATGTCTCCAGTGCCCTTCCATTCTTTCCCTTCTTCCTTTATCACTACTCCTATTATTGATGCCAGTTGTCTGTCTTCTTTTTAGATGCCTGGATTACTTTTTTCTATGTGTAATAGTAGTTACTGAAATGTGGGGACAGTATCAATTTTTGTTAATGTAGATTTCTATAGGTCTAGACTAATTTTCAAGTTAGGAATTAAGGTAGAACAGGGTTTTATGTTAAAGCAAAAACATGAGAGAGGCTTTATAATCTGTTAAGGTACAAGAGACAGCACTTACCTGCTGTAGTATTGAGACTAAATGTTGAAAACATAAGAGAGGGTATTCTTTGTTGGTTCAGAGTATCAGCTCTGAGAGCTTTTTTTTTTTTTTTTTTTTTTTAATATATAGGTAGTTTGTTTCTCTGTGATCGTTTTTTGCTTTGCTCAGATGTAAAGGGAGCCAAAATACGTAGAATGTTTGGTTTTCCTATTACACTTCTAAACTTTTACAGTGTCTTTTCTATAGTGATGTAATCTGTCCACCCTCCCTTTCTTTTCTTATTTCCCAACACGCTAAGTTGCAGGGTTATAATACCAGGAGGAAATCAATTTTTCTCTGCATTCATTTCTTAGATTCCCATCTTGGAGACAGCAGAGATCTTGTTCTTTATTACTTGTGTATTCACTTTACTCAGTAAAATACTCTCTTTTTTGCTTCCTATCTCAGCCATTGTAGTTTGAAGGTTAGTTGAGTTTCTGATGATGCTCTTGGAAATTTTTTCTCTGCTATCTCCTGCTTTTCTGAAGGAAAAAGGAATTCCTTAGCAAATCAGTTAAAAGACTAGATGGAGCTAAAAAGCAAAAAGTAGTACTAGGAAGTTGGCAGAACGTTGGCTTCTATTTGTAAACGTAAATAAAATATCATGTTGCACGTTCTCTAGTGTTACAGAGAGAAATGATTGTGATTTGAATGTTTTCAAATGTAATTATTTTAGATTCATCTGGTAACTTTGGACTTCTATCAGTTTTAATTACATAGTGACATACAGCGACGTTAAAGTTCACTTTAGTTTTTTTCTCTCATTTCATAATGTCTTTGGCACAGCTATATTTATGTTATATTGGAGTATAATTCAGAATACGCCTGCTGTGTGACAGTGATATTTTACGTTTCTTTATTGCTTTTGAATAAACAAGAACACATTGAGTTTCTTTCTAGAAATGTATTCTCAGAAACATTTTCCACTGTGTGCTAAAGTTTTGGCATTAATAGAAACATATTCTACTGTTTGAAGCCAAAGCAAACGGGGCACTTGAAACCAGGAAAAGTGGCAGCATTAGAACAACATGTACAGGAGGGGAAGAAGGACTGCTTTGGTGATGAATGAAGAATTATTTTTGGAGGCATTTACTTAACAGCCAGGGATGTTTTGATCAGAAATTCCTTACAGGTTGAATATTTTTTTTCGGTACAATGGCAGAAATGCCACAGAAGCATGCTGAATAAGATTGGTTAAAAACTTCCGTTGGGTAACAATCTAGGAAAAGACAGGAAGAACCATGGTGAAAGAATATCATTCCTCCCAATGGCTGGATAGCCCAGTATCAAACACTTTCTAATCAGACTCTCTGAATGCTCATCTCAAAAGAAAACAAACAAGCAAACAAACAAATAAAACCCCCAAAAAACAGAACTCATTTTTGTGTGCTGACGGCACACAGCTTATAAGCGCGTTCAAAGCACTGAAAAGAAATTGAGCCATCAGTCAAAGCTGTGATTAGGTCACATGGGACAAAGGGTACAACTCCATGAGCCGACCAGGTTTTGGGTTAGATGTGGATGTGCCTGATGCTGAGCAAGAGGCTCTGCTGTTCCTGAGGGAACAGGATGTTCAGAAGGAGATGCTACCAAGGGAGCACATCACTTCCAGTATTTACATGACAAGTGGAAAGCTGAATGCATGATGTTTGGGCCACTGAATATCAGAATCTAAATAGTTGTTCATTTATTATTCTTGTCATTTATCAAATCTAGCATGTCCCCTCTGTTCCTTCAGTTAAGTAATTTTTTGCATAGCAGGCATTGTACAGGATCAGATGCCTCCATGAGTAGAAGTTGACCTCATTATCGAAGTGCACCTTTTTTCCTTCTTGATTATCATCTACATGTTGAGATGTCTTCATGTCTTAATTTGGATTGTAATGTGGATTCCTTGGGACAGGTACTACAGACTATATTTGTCCACAATAA